ACCGCCACCATCTACCGCCACCACCACCACCGTCCACCACCACCTCCGTCAACGTCCACCACCACCCTCCACCACCACCACAATCGTCCATACACCACCACCATACACTACCACCATTAATTTATATAGCAGTCTACAGACATTAAAAAAACAAACAGTCTTCTTCTTGCAGACCGCAGATCTTCGGTCCACCACTTCTCCTGCAGATGTCTACAGTAGTGGTTCGCATACCGCAGACCTTTTCCTGCAGAAAAAACAAACACCCCCTAAGAGTCCACTATTCTTTCTTTATTTTTAGGGTTTGTTAGGAGTCTTACATATACATAAAAAATTAGGAAAAATTATACTCCGTATATAACAAATCGTATGTACGGATAAACAGTTATTTAACGGATGTCTATGCGGAACAGATTATAAACGGATCGGATGTATGATTACTAAATCTGTATTCGTTTACCAATCGGATATGCTTAATTGAATACGGATAATAATCGCTTTTAACGAATGCGGATATTTTTCGTATAAACGGATACGGATGCGGACGGTAATCGAATTTTTGGTTATCCATTTACAGCCCTATCAATTCTCTATGTGAAATATACATCTAGTGTACACCAGATCGGATATCTCTGGGGTTTTTTCTTTTTTTTTGGTCCATGCATTCTATGGTTTGCAAATTACTATGTCCTCCATAGGTTCATTTCTTTTTATAGATCATCACACACAAAATTATTTTATGTAATGGTTCTTGTAAAAATACGAAGATCTTATTTAACATTGGTCCAACCCTTTAGATCGTCCTGGTCATTATCACCGAACCGCCGGGAACTGAATAAAACCGGAAAAACCTATCCGGTTACCAACCTTTTTTGTGTGAAAGTTTTCAAAACTTTCGATACATGAGTTCGAACCCATGATGTCATTGACCTTACACTACCTTATTATCTGTTGTGTTATAATGCCTGTTGTATCATTTTGGACATTTGGTTTAATTGTATCAAATATTCCTTAAGTATAAAATTATATTTCAAATAACTTTGAAAAATATGATGTACTATGCTCCGTATTTGGGTTTTGAGCTAAGATTCAAAATCTAAACCATTGATATAATTGATATTAATATGAAGTGCATATCACACAAATATTTTATTTATATACTCCCTCCGTCCCTGAAACCTTTCTCCTTTCTTTTTTCATCCGTCCAAAAAAACATTTCTCATTTCTATTAAAAAGTCACTTTTACCCTTACTTTTTCATACCCTATCTATCACATCATACCTTTTTACTAATAATCTATCCATCAAGTCATACTTTTACCCATCACATCAAAGGACATTTTTGGTAATTCAATACCAAAATACACTCTCCTTAAATCCCTCCTCAAAATCAAAACTCTCATGTTTTCCGGGACGGAGGGAGTATATTTTAAATATTGGATAAATTACTTGAAGAAATCATATCAACAATTATTTTAAAAAGCTTTAAAACACATAAATTTTTATTTCTAACTTTAATCCCACAACTGAATTAAATTAAATTGATTATAACTTTAGTCAAATATCATAATTGTTTATTTAAAAATCATCCTAAATAGGACCAAAACATAGATAAAAGTACCAAAATAGGACTTTCATGTTTTTTTCTCGAAATAGGACTTTGCACTGTGGTAATGTGACTTTGCCCTGTGGTAATGTGACAATGTACATGTGCAAATTACTATACGTTTTTGGTAATGTATATGACCATGTATGGTAATGTAAGTCCTATTTCGGGAATAAAAACATGGAAGTCCTATTTTGGTATATTTTCAATGTTTTAGTCTTATTTCGGTCTTTCTCCCTTGTTTATTTCTAAAAAGAGGAAATATTGTTTTGTTCACACACACACACACATATCAAACAACTACCTTCACTTCGAGGCTGACTCTCTCTTTCCAGGTGTATGTGCAAATCTTGCATTCTTACTAGGAAACTTTTCTTTAGAATGCTTCTTGATTAATGATTCATCCCATTGTGATTGTTTTCAGATACGGCTTTATTGGATTGAACTATAAACAAGAGTTTCCCAAGACTCACTCCATCTTCATCATCACCTTCACTAAGAGGGCAATCCCTTGAAGGCGATGCTGACCCTGAAGACAATGCTGTTATAGTTGGTGCCTATTTTAGCACTATCATGCTCAATTAACAACATACTTTACGAAATCAAACATAGCATATAATATGCTCAATTTACATAATCTATAATCCTGAACCAAACTAATCTCATTGCACTAGCACACCTACCCCATGAATCAATGATTTTTTTTAATTAAAAAAAACAAATCAACTCTTTCTGCTATATAAGTTGACAAATAAAAATAAAGCACGCTTTCCCGTGAGTAAAATGATATGCAATCCTCTCTACAGTCTACACCAATTACATAAAATATAACAGCTGTGAAATACACGATATATTACAATGACATTATTAACTCTATAAAAGTAACCTCAGCTCTAGCAGAAAAGAACTCAATTCTATAGAAAAACAGGAGAATCGTTTACTTTACCTGAAAAATTTGAAGCCAATCCGGAGATTCTTCTATGGATTTAGTCATTTTCAGCTGCCTTGAATTCATAAATAAAAATAATTAAAGTAAGTTCAGTTCTCAAAACAAGCGAGTTCGTTCATGCATATTTGAGATGAAATAGAAATGGGAAATGCAATATACATCCGGTAATTTCTCTCTCTAAACATGTGGCAGTTTACTTCTACTGAAGTTGATTTAGCCCTTTCGCATGGGGATTTTCAATACTAGCGGTTAAGACGAGCAAGTGGGTGACGGATAACAGTAGTCAGACTTCGGGTGGTGGGTGGCTGGTTCCTGATTTGCAGTGATAATGGACAGCATGTCGGAACCCAAACTTTCTTGATTTGGTATAGACCTTGCACTAAGTATTAATGCAATCTAGTGCGAAGTAGCTATATGCATTTTATGCCCCAAAAAGTATGTCCAAATCATTTCAGATATTAAAAAATACCACTATGGAAATAACATGTATGAAATTACCTTAATGCATGACACTGGGAACATCGGGAAAAAAACAACCGCACATTGGTAGCCGCTGTTGGAGCTACCATCACTACTAAAGAAAAGCAGTGATCGCCATGCACACTGCCATGCTTCCATAAAGATTTCTTTTCAAATTGATGTGCCCTTTTGAGAAGCTCATTTTCTTTCTGCAACTTTAAGACAATTCCATAGCTCAAGGTATATAAACTACCTAATTCCTAGAAATTTTTGAAAAGGATACTGTACTGGACGCCCTTTATAGAAGAAAACTCTGAATGTGAAAAGGCATACACATAATTATGATTAGACCCAACTGCGACCAGGTAACTTCCGAATACCCCTCTCACACATTTTATCTCGCAAATACGAAACATCTAACCACCTATTTATTGAAGCATAGAGACCTGATAAAAGCACATAGTTTCCAGCATTGAGAGGCTCAATTTCAAAAAGCATGTGTGCTATCTCCTCACCTAATTCAATATCACAATGTCGCTGACAAGCCCCAAGAAGTGCACCCCATGCACCAGCATAGGCCTCAATGGGCTTTGCTCTAAGTAACAAATTATACGCAGCTTTGAGCTTTCCGGATCGTCCAAGAAGGTCAACAATGCATGCATAGTGGTCAGGTGAAGGAACTAGAGCGTAGTCATTTATCATGGAATTAACGAATCGAGACCCCTCTTCAACGAGCCCCCCACGACTACATGCTGTCAAAATCACAGTGAAGGCTACACCATCAGGCACTAACCCTTCACTTAGCATTCTATCAAACAGCCTAACAGCTTCCTCACTACGCCCATGAACCGAAAGTGCTTGCATCAATGAACAATACAGAATTACATCACGCTTAGGTATCTCCTCAAACAAAGCCATTGCTCTGTCCATGTTTCCACATTTTGCATTCATATCTACAAGAGCAGCTGCTACATGGGGTTGGTGAAGATTAAATGAGCTTTGCATCACATAACAATCTACCCGTCTGGCCAGGTCTAAACATCCTATTTGAGAGCAGGCAGACATCAAACTGACCATAACAAACTCATCTGGCCTAAGATTAATAGACATCATTTCAAAGAACAACTTCACAGCTTCAACAGGCTGTCCATTCTGTGCATACCCTGATATCATAGTTGACCAGGCAATTATA